GGTAGAAGCCCTAATTTTACATGAACTCTTTTTTTTGTTGTTGCTGTAGTTTTTAGTTTCTTTGTTTGTTTGGGATTACTCTGAGAATTTTGTTTGCTTCTTTCCAACTGTGTTTAATGTAGTACAAGTCTGTTCCAGTTACCAGATAGGTTTTCCATGTTTCTGACTATTCACACCCCAATATATTTCAGTTACATGTGCTTTCAAAGTGTACCTTTCCAGGTAATTTTATCAAATCAATAAAGCATTATACAGTGAGTCCTAGCTTTTGCTATAAAAATATCAAGCATCATTTGCAGTTTTTACATTAACATGTTACCTGTTAGGTAATCATTTCATGCATTCCCTTTTTACATTCATGTGAGTTGATATGCAAGGATACATAATGCAATATGAGTATTAAGTGGAGCATTTCACATATTTTAGTTCAACTGCATTTAACATATTATAGCTACTAGTACGATGGAAATAATAAGCAATATACAGTAGTATTTGTATGCAATTAGTTAAGTAGCTTGTGCTAATACCAGATTCCTTTCCCGTTAATGACTCAGTCGTTACTGTGATTAAGCTACTATTTCTCTGGTTAAAAAATTATGTACATGTACTTACTTGAGAGCTAATGCTATCTGGCAAACAAACTACAGTAGAAGGATAGTTAAAGTGTAAGAATTTGCCTACAATATACAATATTTGTGAAAAATAAAAAGAATACAAAATTTGTACGTATGTGTACATATTAATCAGTGTGTAATAGCTAAATAGGAAAAAATATGTTGCTTTGGAGAATACAGGTGCAATGAATACTTAATAAATCATCCTCTTACCTGTTTTAGAAATGGTGTAATTATCTATTTTACAGAAGTCCAGATTCATGTCTGTGCTTTTCCTCTCCATTAATCTGGACCTTCTAAAATCACAGCTCTATTTTGCAAGTACTGTTTTTAATCCAAGGTGTTGGTAATATTCCATATGCAACAGCAGCTCTTCAGAGAGCAGGTATCAAACTGCAAGGGAGATACCTTTTATCATTAAGCTCCTCCTCTCAGTAAGTCAGGATAAATTGCTATTGCCATAGTAGCCACTGCTTGCTTTTTAGGGAAGGACAGACTTACTGCCTATCCTCAGTCTAGCTAGGCCTGGGGCTGCCACTGTTTCCAGCAGTGAAAGAGAAGAAAAGTACAGGGTCTTGGGGAATGTGTGTGTGTGTTTGCACTTTCCTTTTCTTTCCCCTTCTCCACTGCCGGAATTCTTTTTGTTGCTGCCCTACTACTAGACTGGTTCATGGAAACTATGTTCCTCTTGCCCCATCGCAGAGCTTGGTTCACTCCACCTACCTATCACTTATCCTGCATCATGGTTCCAACCTCATTCCAAAACCTTAGCCCTGTCAGCGACTGTGCATCTTCCAACTGTGCTTACTCCAGAGCTCAAATCCTACCTACCACTTCAGCCCATGTCTGCCTCAGGTCCTCCATCCTTTCTGCCCCAAACCTGCCTTTCCAGTCTTCAGCAGCACACACCAGTCCTGGGATCTTCCTGTTTCATTCCCTGGATGAACACTTCACATGTTTATAATTTCCCTCACTTACAGCTTTCCCACATGTCCAGCCTTAACCAGTGCTCAAACTGGACTTTGCAATTAAACAGCAGTTCCTAGAGATTGCTTCTCTCGATCCCACACCATTCCACCTCAGTCTGCTATATCACCCCTCTTGATACTTCCTGTCCAGGCCATCATCTTCCTTCTGTTTTCTCTCCTTTGACATCTTCTAGCCCCTGACTGCACTATCTCATCATTAGGTTCTGTCCTTTACCTTACTGCTTGAATTATCGGTTATCTTCCTCACCAGTCTTGGCTTCTGCTGTGGCAGAAGAGTATGAACAACTGGATTGGTATGCATGATGCTCATCTAGATGAGGAGGAACTACTATGGCTGAGCTTTAAGAACGTGGTCACTAAGAATTCTGATAAGAACAGCTTAAGGAGCTGTACCAGAATTGTAGAGATCCAGGAGAAAAAAAAAACTTCCAGTGAGTAAATAAACAGTGTTCCTAAAATGTTTGGAGATAGAAGACAAAAGGTGATAGAGTATTCATGTAGAAGCAAGTATGGAATCTATAATGGTGCTAAAAGCCAATAGGCATGTTTGATTTAGGAAAGGAGAGGGCTGAACAAAATGGAGGGATTTAGAAGAGGAAAAGAAGGATGAGACCAGACATGAAAATCTGAAAACCGAATAGAATGTAATTGTATGAGCAGCTGAAAAGGGTAAAGGGCTACAGGAAACAGAGGTGAGAAACACCTGTGTTTATATTAATGCAGGAGGACAAAGCAAAAAAGGTAAGATGAGAAGACAGAGAAGGAAATCTTGTCCAGGAAAAACACATTCCTGAAGAAAACATGAGAAAAGCTTCACCTCCCACCAATGGTGAGACTCAGCAGAGCTCCTTTCTTAGCGACAGGGTATACCACTATTATTTGAAAAAGGCATTCTCTGCAGAATAAAGTGCAACACATCACATGATTAAAGTGCTTAGGTCCAAGAAAAACACACAGTATAAGATTCTACATGGGCTCACTTGATTTCCTGATGAAATCAGGGAAGCAAATAATGTATGTCAGGGGACATACTTCTGCTGCAAATGCTTCACATGAGAAAAGCTTTCTTAGACATGAAAAGGAAAATTGTGTATGAATCAGGCACCTTTATTAGCATTTGAAATGAATTGTAATGGTCTGTTATATTTCTTAAAATCTCTTAAAAATAGCAATATTAGTAATTATTGTTGCTTTTCTTTTTTTTGACTTCTTATTCAGAATGCAACATTTGAAAATAGGTTACAGAAAAAACGCGCATAATGAAGTGAGGTTTTCTTTATGTTGTAATGGTGAAAAAATACTAAGACTGTGTAAGTTTATTTTGTAATATTGCAGTGAGGCATTATAACTCAGCATTTGACAAATTTTTATTTAATAAACTGCATGGAAGTTGATCAGTCTTTCTGAAGTTACCTTAATAGTAAAAATGACCACTGTAGCAACTATATTGCTCTTAAACGTGTTAAATGTTATCTGTTGGTACAAAGCCCTTTTGAAATCCCACCTGGAATGTTATGTGTTGTTCCTGATGGGAGTCAAGCACTGAAAAAAATATTTCCACACCTTTACAGCATCATTCACCCACTCCTATTTAAATCATTGAAAAGCAGGAACTGTTAAAGCGAAGTATTAATTACAAAAGGCAAGGTGGGGAAGATTGCTGTATGGCAGTGAGAGTTTTGAGGATAGGACAATAAAATCAATCATGCTCTGACAAACTTGCAATATTACATTTGTGAAATGGCAAGACATTACCATGAGAAACAGTCATAGCTCAAATACTCTAGGGCATGTTTAGTTCTCTGTGATACAGTGGCAACATTTGGTCTACATATGTGACTAGGAAATTAATAGTAATTACATCATAAATGTGGCTGTAAGCTCTGTTCTCTTATGATATGTTTTATGTTATTACTTACGGGCTTAATCAAGTTTTTGGTCTTCGTGTGGTATAACGTAGCAAATACCTACACTGTACGAAAGATAATAATAGTACTTTTCACCTTTGTGGATCAAGGACTTGAGCGTAGAGTGTAAATGATTTGCCCATAATGTCATTTGAAGTCTCACTGGTAGAATTTGAAACTGATTCTAAGGCTCCTGGGACTTGCCCAGTCTATGTCACACTCTTCAATGAGGTCATTCCAGTAGTTCAGTACTATTGGAGTCTAAGACTATTTCATACTTCCTTATGTTGATGTTAAAGCAGACAACAAAGTATGGAAGCTTTGTACTACCTCACAATAACAGAAGAACGATGAGAATGCACAATATTGTTATCTCAGTTTTAATGAGAGGAGAGGTGATTATTTACTTATTACTAACCATGTGTTTTTGTGTACTTTTGGGCTTAAGCAAGAGTTGTCTTTGACTCAAGGGATGGCTTTTCCTCTGATATATGGATTTTCTCTCTAGTCCAAGCAATTTCTCACATCCTCAACTGGTTCTGCAACCACATTCTCACAACCACAATCACTAATATCGTATCATGTGATATTTAGCCTGATGCTGTCTATAGTCAGTGGAAAGGGACAGGAAGCCATCCAGATTTAATGACTTGTTACTGATCAAGAACTAAATGGCAGTAAATACTGGATCTCACGCAGCTTGGGGTACTTATGGCACTTCAAAATTTATAAATAGTTTTGTTTTTCAAAATATTGCTCAAATGCCACTAAAAAGTGTCTCTAGACTAATTCCATGTGATCTTCCCTGCTGTGGCATTTGTTTTGGAGTGTTAGGACGTAACGACTTCTAGAAAACGTGATGGTTTAGGCAGTTGCCCTTCCAAGGCATCACTCCTTCCCGTTTTTGCACTGATGTGCATCACAACTGTTCATTGAGCTTCGGGATCAGCAGGTCGATATTACTAATTCAAAGGAAAGAAAAAACAAAAGATGGTAAATATTCTTTTCTCTACATGGGTCAATTCTCCACTCCTGTTCAGTTGTGCATGGCTGCTCAGCTTGCTGTGCCTGCTTGAAAGCACAGTGAGTAGAGATGCTAATGACTGAAACGGAAACATCGGAAGTTCCTTAACAAGCATGTAGAATCACATGTAGTGCATGTAAAACCACAGCCACAGTGTGATCATGTACCACAGACATGATGTGGACTCCTTCAGACCTCCACCTCAGTAAGGCTGATTGACTGTAAAAAGCCAAACCAGTTTTTCATCAGTTTGTGTAAGCAACCTTGTGATTTTGTAGGAATAATATCTGTTGACGCTGAACTACAGAAGAGTATTTTGGCTGCATTATACTAAATCTGTCCTCCACACACACAGTGGACTGATTGTATTTAAGGAGAAATAGCTTAGCACTCTATTTTGGTTTTCTTATCGTGTAAACATGTATTTACTGTCTGACTAAAATACACTTTCTCATAATATACACAGGTCAGTTGCTCCGTCTGAAAATGTTTCGAGAGGACCATGGGTCTTGGATGACGATGTTCTTCAGTACCATCCTCTTCCTCTTCATTTTTTCTCACATTTATAATCTGTTTCTCATTATGGCGGGGAATATGAGGTAGGTTGCAGAGTTGCTTTTTGTCTCTTTTGCTGTAAAATATATTCTACTGGAAAATGTTCATATTATGCTGCTTTACAGTGAACAGGAGTTTACCAAAATGTAAAAACACTAGCATTCACTATCTTATTCTTCTGTTTTCTGACTTTGGGTAGAATAGTAATGTACTTGGCTAATTAGCCAAGAAGGTTAAAATACCAGCTATAAAAAGTGGGGTCCTAGTCAACATGGTAGCAACAATTACATCAGGGTACTAATGAACATTGCATCTTTTTTTAATTATTATTTAAAATCATAGCTCAACGAATTTGATTTGAAGTTAGGGCTAAGTAGTTTAAAAGTATAAGCATTACTATGGTGCATACTCAGGAAATTCATAATCAAAGTTAAAAGAAATTGAAACATCCAAGCCTGACTCAAAACACAAATGTATAGCATAGTACTATTCTGGTTATGTATAATTATATCTGCCGATCCGATTTGTTAAAACTATGATTTAAAATCTATTTTTTCCCCCTATGGTGATCTAAGAGGGCAAAGCTATGGCTGGCTGAGGGATGAGCAACTGTCTTTTGATTATGTTTGAGTTTATTTTTTTAATGGAGCTTTTTGTATTAATTTTCTGGCTTAAGAATACTTGAGTCCTTTTATTATCTCAAAATTAACACCACTTTCAAGTGTTGATTTTCCTGAGAAAACCTACATTATTAGTCATATAATGCATACAAAATGAACAAAAATACAGTCATGTTGTTTATGAAAGGCAGGATAGCATCTGAATATTTTCTAGCAAGGAATAAGAAACACAATGTATATATGAGTTGACAAACAGTGCAGATAGTTAAATGACTTGTCTTAGCAGAATCATGCTAACAAGAGTCTAGGGAAGAGTTATTTAATGGGCCCTAATGTGATGTGTTGAAGATCTTAAGTGTGCCATCAAAAATATTCAGTGTATAAAGTCTTGTTAACAACGTGACATAGACCAAAAGATGAGTAGGATGCAGACTGCGTGTCACTGGATAAACATAAATGCAGAGCAGTTGGGATAATCATGAGATTGTGACATGAAGACTACATGTATTGATTCAAGCAAGGCAGATAACGCAGCAGAGTAACTGAGTGTTTTAGGAAATGATCACAGTAATGATGTGGTAAATATGAATAGGAGCCCAATAAGAGGCAAAATAATCATCCCTGAAATGAGGAAGGTAGGAGCAATGCAGGTTTTTGGCTTCCTTGTTTACACAGTTATACTATTATTGGTATTATGTCAAGATTTATGTTTGGTATTTCTAATGCTCTATAAACTATAACTAGCTGTTAGACAAAGCATTAATGATTTTGAAAGCTTAAATCATGTCTAGAAATCAGAGTCAATTTGTTTTTGTCAACATTCCTGGTTCCCATATCTGTTACAAGCTTCCATTAGCTGCGCTGAAGAGATTGCGTGGCAATCAGTGTCCACGTTCTTGGAAATAGGTGCAGCCTAGTACTGAAATAGTTGATGTCAGTCAGTCTGCCCTCTTGCTTTCTGCAGGGTGAAGCCTCACCTTTCCTGGAGCTTATGCCCTACCCCTAGATTTGTTGTGATTGTTTTGGGAAGCTGACTGTGCTTTGCTCAAGCAATCACACTGCCTTTTTCAAAGTGGACTGAAGGCTTCTTACAGTCATTTTGGGTGTCCATTCCAGCAAAAAGACAGCAAGCAGATACAAAACAAACAGTTTCAGTCTCAAACTTCACAGTGTAAACCATCAGTCAAACAGATCCCTCGGATCAGTTCTCTGAGTTGAGGTAGAACAATGTGTAGTACTTTTGAAAAGGGAGTTTCTACAACAAATGTCATCAAAGCCACCTACTTCACGTTGCCATAATAAAGTGTTTCGGGGACTGGATTATTTTTTCCTGAGTAAATGCAATCCTTATGAAAGCTGTTTGCTTCATGGTTTGTGCTTGGGTGCAGAAGAACACCTCTGACTATGCCTTTTGCTACAGTGCTTTACTGAAATGACTGACACCAGAGAGACTGGCTTCCAGGATAAAGGTCAGAGTCTGCCTCTGTGGAGTTTACAGTCTTTGTAGAGACAAGCTAACATTCGTGCCTATGGACCCCTGTAAAACACAAGCATTAAGAATACACATCTTTGTAATAGAAGGGCTATGAAAGCCTTACGGTTACTCTAGAAGACTGAGGGAAAAACATTTGCATGTGCTTGCTCCTTGCCCTGTCTGTGTTTCAGCTTGCCCTGTGTGGTGGCAGGAAAGTGATTTTGACAATTTTCTTTACGTCAGGTATTTGGCCTCATCAATAAAAATCCCTTTGTGGCTCACAGGTAGGAGAATCATACATCTTGCATGTGCTTGCCAGCATGGATGATGACAGCAGAAGCAATATCCTGTTTAGGGCTTGAGAAATCTGTGCCAGGAGAGCTTTAAAGCTCTGTCATGTTACCATCTCTAAAAGGATATATTTTACAGTAGCCAAGATTGTTTTGCTAGGGTTTTTTAAAGCATTTTTAAAGACACTTGATGTGTCTTAGTGTGGCAAACCTAAAAAATGTGATTGTGTTCCTTGCTGGGAAGAGCAAAAGCTGAATAAGTTGTAGTATTTGAAGGCATGTTATACAGCTCTTCGATGAGCAAAAGTGGGACTGTCTGAACTGAAAAGAGTATGACAGATTGGAATGTATATTTTTAAATTTCAAATCCCTCTTCTCTTTTCAGTGACATTTCTTTTGAGGGACTTCATGGTTTATGGCACTGACCCCACTGTACATTAGGTTATTGCTCTTGCAGTTAGAGCTGAACATCTGGTGAGGAAGCATGTCTGAAAAGCTGTCGGAGAATCATCTGCAGCTATTCTTTCATATCATTTCTCATTTCTTTCTTACTTATTCCTGGAAATAATAAGCAGGAGCTGAGCTGGGCACAGGATGAGTTTGTGTAACTGTCGGAAGGGCCGGTGGGGTCAAGGTACAAGCTTCAGCAGTGAGGGGTTTGGTCTGTTTTGTCTTTCTCTGAAAAAAAGATTGGAGTAGAGAGGCTAAATGTGAAAATGATTCAGAAGTAGAACAGTTTCAGTCATTACTGAGGCTTAGGTTTAGAGGACACTGGGGAGCATAGCAGGACAGGTCAGTCAGAACAGAGCAAAGGCTGTTAGAAAGCAAGCCTGGTCAAGGTGGCTGTGAGAATAATGCAGAAAAAGCTATTCCTGCAAGAGTCAGAGTAAACCTAAGTAGTGTTCTATGCTCAAATAAGGAGAGGAGATTGATTTTGGAATAGTTCTAATACTTGAGGAACAGTTAAACCAATTGTAGAGGATCAGAAAACATGTTATCAGTGTGGTGCCAGAGGCTGAACTGTGCAGTGAGAATGAAACTATTAAATTTGCTCTGTAATTCAGATTTTAAGTTTTTGAAGTAGCAAAAGGGCGCTGCCGATTACATCTGCTCAGTGGGTACGTGTCTGTTAGACAGTGATACCATACACTGAAAGGAACTGTTATGACATGGTGTGAAGTACGTTGGCCTGGGGATCTCCTGTTCATGCTATGAGTCTTGTGGTAGGTTTGAGCATACAAACACAAGCACAATTTCTATCACGTTGCGATCCATCACACTTGTGCACAGTGGTCCATCATGCTTGTGTGCAATGGTTCTCTGCACAAGTGCAGGCAGCCTTGCGAAGCGGCTAGCTGCCATCTAAAGCAATCCTTTGTGTCAAATCTGTCCCTGTCGCGTTGCCTGCTCCTTCACTCTCATGTGGCTAAAAAAATATCTCTCCATTCTTTATTCCACATCAGCTGTGGGTGCTTGTTTGGAGGTCTTAGTTCATACTCAGTGTTATTTCTACCAACATAGGCCTGCATACATCGAATAGGATTTATTTTCTGTGGTTATAGAGAAACAGAAGATAGAAGCCCTTCTGTGGTACTCATTTTCTGCCTTGGGGGTCTCCCTCAGAAACGGCTATCGACTCATGTCACTTCATTGTAGTGTTTTCTTCAACCAGTGCTCTGAAGAGGCGGGACCCATTTGATGAGAGCTGAACCAGAGCTTTGCCAGTGTCACCGAGTGAGTCTGAGAGATGTGATGAGGAGATGTGATGAAGATTAGTGGCTGCACCCAGTCGCACAGTTAATGCTACGAACGCATTCTGGGGTCCAGCCCTCTGCAAGATGGCCAAGTGGCCATCTGTCCATGTGTCTGTCCAGGGAGGTTACTGCACAACTTTCTGGGAACACTGTGTGCAGTGATCGTGCCTGGCGTTCCCCTACCTAATCCTGAGCAGTGTGATCTTGTTTGTACAGTCCTGAGTAGGAGATCATTCTCCAAATACTATTCCAAGTACAAGGTCCTACACCTGGGTCAGAGCAATCTCAGGCACAGCTACAGGTTGGGCAGAGAAGAGATTCAGAGCAGCCCTGTGGAGAAGGACTTGGGGGTGCTGCTCGATGAGAAAATGAACATGAGCCAGCTTCAGTGTGCACTTGCAGCCCAGAAAGCCAACCGTATCCTGGGATGCATCAAAAGGAGTGTGACCAGCAGGTCGAAGGAGGTGATCCTTCCCCTCTACTCTGCTCTCGTGAGATCTCGCTTGGAGTATTGTGTGCAGTTCTGGTGTCCTCAACGTAAAAAAGACATGGAACTGTTGGAACAAGTCCAGAGAGGGCCATGAGAATGATCAGGGGACTGGAGCACCTCCCATATGAAGATAGGCTGAGAAAGTTGGGGCTGTTCAGCCTGGAGAAGAGAAGGCTGCATGGAGACCTCATAGCAGCCTTCCAGTATCTGAAGGGGGCCTATAGGGATGCTGGGGAGGGACTCTTCATTAGGGACTGTAGTGATAGGACAAGGGGTAACGGGTTAAAACTTAAACAGGGGAAGTTTAGATTGGATATAAGGAGAAAATTCTTTCCTGTTAGGGTGGTGAGGCACTGGAATGGGTTGCCCAGGGAAGCTGTGAATGCTCCACCCCTGGCAGTTTTCAAGACCAGGTT